GTGTAGGATTTTGGCTTTTAGATGGCAGGGAAAGTGCTCCGTGGTAGTCGATGTCTTGTGAAGTGGGGGATTAGAGAGTGCATTGTCCTGAGGGCCTTGGCTGGGTTTCATCCCTTGGCCATCTTCTTCAGAGAGTCAGTAGGGAAACATAGCTCAACAGGTGTCCAGGCCATTAGCTAACTGTCCTGTTGGGCATGTGAGATTTCACATGAAAGTTGTGGTCCCCAAGGAGAGGGACTCAGGACACAGATTCTTCTTACAAGGGCCTGTCCTCTAGGTACAACTAGGGGAATTCTCTCCTTCAGGCAGATGGCTACAGGCTACGCTGATCTGACAGCTTTGCAGACATGAGCTGTAGTTCCCCTGGTGATCACCGGCATGTCATCAGGATACACAATGAACTGGCAGAAAAAAATACTTGTCTAAACCAGGAACTATCCTAGTAACCTGGTTTCACCCCTGTTCTTACAGACCAGAAAACCATTGTCTCAATATTCTCAGAGCTACTGGCTATTAATGTGCCTGCCATACTGCCAGGAGACCATGTTCTCTCTTCCCACTTCATGTGTTCCCTGTGGGAATCCCATGGTATCCAAGGGGAATCAACTAGACAGAGGTTCAAGGTCTCTCAGAAAGACCATCGATCACTTGGGCAAACCCATTATACAGTTCAGCAAACAGAGGAAGAGGGAGAATCATGTCAAAAATCATCCACAGGTTGAAGGATCTCACAGACTTTTCTCCAAAATAACCTCCTCCCACACGCCCAAGATGTGAGACTCGTGACACATCCTATGCCTTTGACCTCAGCCAGAACCTAGTCTGATAGTCAGTCTAGGCAGAATAGACTTATTTTTTTTTCTGCACACATCAAACACCTGATCCCTTTGTACCTCAAGGACAGTTTTGTCACCCTCCTGCTGAGAGCAAATTCCAGGATTCCAGAGCATTGAAAATGAGGCAGATTGGATGCCCAGCTGGGTTTCTTTGTCACAAAGTTATGCAGATTTTCCATTTTTCAAGCTGCCAGAGCCTAGACCAGCACACAGCCTAGTGCAGTTCCTGAGTCAGCTCCAATTATCTCTCCTCACAGGGATGGTCAGTAGCCTTGACTCTCACTCTGTTCTAGAGGAGAGAAACACCAGGAGAAAATGGGAAAGGAACCTGGGACAGCACTGAAACTACAAGGGCAGTGTTTTGTAAACAGACCCACCCTCAGCCCATAAGACTCTGGGAGGAGCTCATTTCTGGAAGAGACTCAGCTGAGAAGGGGGAAGAACAGCAGAGCTTGGGAGCTGTGGTGGAGCAGAGTTCCTAAAGAAGACAGATCAGATGACTTAGACAATGGAGGTCCTCTCTGTACTCCTCCGAAAAAGGTCACCACATGCCAGGGCTTCTTCTCACAGATGAGACCAGTGTGTGCGAGGAGGAACTGACATACTGTGGAGTCTCCTGAGTGGCACAAGGACATGAGAGGAGCCTCAGTGTTTGTAGGGCAGAAGACACAGAGTGGGGGAGAGGCTGAGCATTAAGATCTCCTCATCGAATATTAAACAGTAAGAGTGGGGGAGACATTATTCTTCTATCAAGTTCATATTCATGACCACAATATTCTGAGTACTGATGCTCTCAGCTTGATAGTATGAATAAAAATTCAAGCTGGTGTGGATCACTAACATGATCCAACATATACAGGCATTTGCTTCATTGTCTGACATACTCAGACAAATGAACAGAAGAAAGCCAAGACAACTTGTGCTTTTGATGATGAAGTCCCAGTTTGAGTGAACTTGAAGTTACAAAAAAAGAAAAGCTGGAAAATGAATTCAGAATTCAGTTGTTGGCTACAGAGCCAAGAGAAACAGCAGGAATAAAGGCAGAGAGTGAAGACACATGGTCTGTAGGGGAAGAGGTTGGGCGTGCATCGCCACAACACTAATCCACTGTAAGTGTGAGCAGTCAGCCGTAAGCTTGGTTGGACAGAGAGAAACTCACCCAGAAATATAGGCTGAGCAAGGGAAAGAGTTTCTCAGGACAGAAAGCCATATCTTAGTCAAATACAAAACTTCCCGTTTTGATGGATCTCTCTCTTCCTTCTAGCTTTCGTTTGGAAGTGCGGACGCCTTGCTACCTTTGGCCAGCCCACTATTGAATCAGTGCCACCCAGCGTTGCTGAAGGGGGAAGTGTTCTTCTACTCGTTCACAATCCACCAGAGAATATTTTAGGCTTTGTCTGGTTCAAGGGAATGGCTGATAATAAGAATATTGTGGCCACCCGGTTTATAGAAGATAGGAAAGCAACTGTGTGGGGACCTGCATACAGTGGCAGAGAGACATTGCACAGTGATGGATCCCTGCTGCTTCACGGTGTCACTCGGAAAGACTGTGGATTGTACATTCTAAAAATTCTGAAAAAAGATAAGGGAAGTGAATACACACAAGTACAACTCCAACTGGACAGTAAGTGATTCTCTGTGATTGTTCTTCTGGGTCCCCATGTTGAGGTTTGAGCACTTAGCGAAGGACACACTGGTAGAGCCAAATGGCCATAGATCGATCATCTTCCGTCATCTGACTCCACCTGCATCAAGGAAGACCTTGATGGGAAGAAACTCAGCCTAAGATGTCAGTTTCAGCCCACTCTCTTGGAGTTCTAGACTAGGGAACCCTAAATACTGTCATCTTTCCAACACTGGAGCGAAGTCACCCAGGAGAACATTTTTCTATTGTTCTTCTCTTAATTATTTCAAAACTGATAGGGAACCATGGTGTTAGAATCCCATGTCAAACTATGGTATTTATTAGCTTACAACTGAGATTGTCATGACTAAAATCCAGGAACTGGTACAGAGACCACGGCAGAGTGCTGTCTATTGGCTTGCTCTTCTTGCTTGCTCAATCAGCTCTCTTATGTCACCCAGGAGTCCCAGCCCAGGGCTTAAACTGACTGAATTGGTCTAAATTCTTACATCAGCCCCAATTTAAAAACTGTACTAAAGTTATGCCCAAAGGCCAATTTGGTGGTGGCATTTTAAACTGAGTTCTTTTCTTGAAAAATGACTAGCTGGTGTCAAGCTGATATAAAAACAATCAGCCTAGTGGCCAAGCCTTTAATGAATGGAGACTGCCTTGAAGATCAGACTGCTGCAAGCCCCCATATAGTCCCAGACCTAAGGGCTATATGGCACAACAGGAATTGCTTCTATAAGATGAAGTCAGGGGTTAAGTGTTGCTTCAAAGAAACAGAAGAAAACACCTAGAAAGTGAAAGTTCCAGGCCTGTTGAGTTCAGGGGAGGCATCATCTTAAATGTCAGTGTTCATGAGTCTGTACAGTATCTGCCTAAGGGCAGTGAGGGAGCAGCCATGTAGACACCCAAAGAAACTGTTCCACAGAGGACATGACATATTCAGGGGCACTGTTGAAAAGAAGGAGGTCATGTTTCAGCCCTTCTTTAAGAGGAAGAGAAACACACATACCTGGAACTCTAGGTTGAGTAATGAATCCATCTGCTCAAGATGGAGTTCACCATCTTTTCACAAAGCACAATGATCCTCATGTGATGGCTTTTTTTCTCTTTTCCCTCTCAGCTCCCCATTATCAGTTCTGCAACCCTTTCGCTTCTTCCCAACTCATGATCCAACCAGTGCCTCGCAATGCAGTTGAAGGGGAAGATGTAGTTCTTCAAGTTTATAATCTTCCAGAAGATCTGAAAGCCGTTTACTGGCACAAGGCAACATACAAAACTCCGGTTTTTAAAATTGTAAAATACACCAGAGCCTCAAAATCCATCTCTTGGGGGCCTGAACAAAGAATTAAAAAGATAGGATACAATAATGGATCTCTGATACTCCGGGATCTCACTGAGAAAGATGCAGGAATGTACACACTAACAGTTTTAAAAAAAGACTTCAAAATTGAAAGACTTTACGTGGAAATTGATGTAAAGAGTAAGTGACTCTCTGGTCTCCAACTGCTTGAAGTGTCTGATCCCACTTCATACACTAACCTGTCAGGATTGGGTTGTGTCTATTCTCTTCCCCACTGAATTGTGTTCCCCCACTGGGATTTGGGTCTCTACTGCATGACACATGGGGTAGACAAACTGTAATAGATCAGAACCCCACACTTGCCTTTCCATACAGAAAGGAGGAACTGTGCTGTGTAAACTCAGCCCCAGGATGTCAACTGCAGCTCTCACCATACACATGTTCTCAGAAAGAGCGGGTCAGGCAGTCCCTGAATAGTTAAACCATGGGGTCCTCACAGAGGCTGTCAGCCTGGACTCCAAAGCTTTGCCTCTGGCTGAACAGTAGGTGACAGTGGAAAGTTTATGTCACTTTTTTGGTTTTGGTTAGATTTTCTGTTACAACCAACAAGGAACAAGGCTTTACTGACTGCCCATAGAGTGTAGAATCAGCTGTTCACTGCCATGAGAGCTGCAGTTGGGTAGGTCACCTGTGCAACTCCTTCTGAGGATCAGTGGTCAGGTGTCTGAGCAATTAGCCTATTGCTCTGATGGGCTGATGAGACTTCACAGGAAGGTCAAGGCA